ATGCCTGGAAGACCTGGGCCGGGCGTGGGTTTCAGTGGAAACCAAGAGCCAGGAAGGCAGCTGTTTCCCACGCGGGTGGCAGGAGCCTGATCAATTCCTTGAGCCGGGGCTGGTCAGTCGATCTCAGAGTCTGCACTGGCGGGAAGCTGGAGTGAGCAGCAGGAGCCAGGAACCCAGGCACGCTGTAGGACACGGGTCGGAACTGCCAGGCCAAACACCCACTTCCACGGATATGTTGTTGCTTATTTGTTGTTTTGATGTATTTCCTGCCTCCTTCCCTCCCACCTGAACTAGCCTGTTGACCACTATTGAGCCAGAGAGGGGAGTCCAGTCAGCACAAGCCACAGCTACACAGGACTCCTGACCCCTGGAGACGCGGCCAGTCCCAACTGAAATGGGCTATTAATAACACAGAACCCACGCCAGATGTCAAAGGCTCAGTGCAAAAACCTATGAAATTCTGCAATCACTTTTTGATTATGTAAATGAATCCAGCTGAAACAACAATATCCTAGATATATTGGACTGAAAGAGATCCAGTTTTAAACTTAATTTTCCTGCGTCCCTCTTTTTTTTTTTTTTTTTTTAATGTGGCCAACAGAACATTTTAAATGCTACATGTGGTTGGTATCCCATTTCTATTGGCCTGCTCTGGCCTACAGGGTGCCTGGCACATAGTAGACACTCAATAAATATTTGCTGAATGAATAAAGGAAGCCTAACCACTGCTCTGGAGATTTCCACCGTTGCCCATTGTAATTCCCTTACAATGGGTTTTATTCAGTTTGAAAAGGGCATGAAACTCTCTGGCCTTCCCCCCCTCCCCCTTACAGTAGCTTGGCAGCTCTCAACAGCTCTGCCCACACCCCCAAAACAGTCGTCAATCACTAGGAAAAACCCAGAACTGGAAACAGACTCCTGTTCCAAGGGAGGCAAGCCACACACTGCTTTCAGATTCAACTATAAGGAATCAATAGCAATGACAGCGGAAGCTATAAAGTGATCCAGGAACACAGGAGGTGCCATTTAGAAAGAATTCCAAGGGTAACACACTGCCGAAAAGAAAGCCCTTATCTCGACTGGAAGGGAGACCGACCTCGCTCCAGCAAACAAAGACACGTCATTTCCGAAATTAAAAGGTAACACCACCCCAGGGAATACCCTGATGGCAACCGACCCACCCGCAATCGCAAGACACCAGCCATCAGACCCCTCCACACTCAGAGCTAGCAGTGCACTGTGGGAATACAAAGGGGTTCTGGGGCAAATTCTGAGCTCTGGGCCTTGGCCCCTTCTGAGAATTCTCCAGCAGGTTGAGGAGCGAGGGCTCCCAAAAAAAAAGAAAAAAAAAAATCCCAAATCCGTCCGGGATTTTCCTACAGGTGAGGTGTGGAGGCCGCCCTTTGCATAACAAACTCACCCCACCCCCGAGTCGGAGAGCCCCTGGGGGCTGCCTGGGGGCACCCCCTCGCCAGCGTGCGAACAAAGATGGGGCAGGGCCTCCCGTCGCCCGTCAGCTTATCCTAAACCTGCCGCGTCCGCCGCGTCGCGCGGGTCACCAGGCGTCCCCACGCCGCCTCGCCGGAACCGGGAGAGGCTGGGCCATTCGGTATTTACGGGGACCCACACCCCATTCTCCTGCACAGCCGGGCCGGGACCATCGCCCGGCACCGAGACCTGCAGGGGTGGCTGATGCGCACCTCGTCCGTGACGACCACCCAGCGCGAGCCCCGAGTTCCATCCACACTGCCACCTGGGCACCCACTCCCTCGGGGATCGCCCTGTGGGTGGGGGTGGGGGGGCTTCCCGCTCCCCCTGCGTCCACCCCGAGGCACAGGTGGCAGCACCGGGCGCCCCCACCCCCCAGGCACAGGTGACAGCCTCGAGCGCCCCCCACCGTCCCCAGGGTGCCGAGCCGCGGCCGCCGAGCCCCAGGTCCCGCGGCGGCTGCTGACAGCGAAAGTGAAACAAAGCTGCCCGCCGCGGCCGCCCCGGCGCTGCCCGCCGCGCCCCGCCCCCACGCCCGCCCCGGGGTCGCCGCCCGCTCCCGGGAGCGCGGGCCTCGGCGGGCGCGCCCCGGCCCCACTCACTCACCTCCGGCCTCCATGGAGGACACGCGCGGCCCCCGCGGCAGGCGGCGGGCGCCTCAGCCCCCCGGGCCGCGGGCCCTCATGCCGCCGCCCCCGCGCCGCCCGCCCCGGCCCCGGCCCCGGCCCCGGCCCCGCCGCTGCCGCGCCCGCCGCCGCCCGGAGAGGCCATCAGCTGCTTCCCGTCACATGGCGGCGGCGGCGGCGCGGGCGGGCGGGGACGCGCAGGGGGCGGGGCGCCGGGGGCGGGGCCGCGGGGCGAAGATGGAGGGGGCGCGGGGGCCCGGGAGGTGGGGGTGAGAATCCCACGGGAGGCGCTGAGGGGAGACGGGAGAGACTCCCCCCACCCGGGGAAAGACCGGGGGTGGGGGTGGAGTTGGACTGAGGAAAACATGGGCCGGGGGGGCGGTGAAGCCGGGCTCCGGGAGAAGGCGGGTGGGGGAGGGACGAGGACGGGCCTGAAACCCGGCGAGGGTTGACGTGGGGGGGGGGGTGCTGAGGAGCAGTGGGGGGAGCGGAGCTGAGGGGGACGCCGGGGTGGGGGGAGTGCGGCTCCAGGGACTAGGGGTGGGTGCGGGGCGAAGATGGGGAAAGTCAGGCCCCGGGGGAGGAAGGGGCGCTGGGACCACCGGGCGTAGGAAAGCCGAGGGGAGAGCGAGCTGCGGTGAGGGGAGGGAGGGGTACGGACTGGCCCCGGCCGTGCGGGGCGGGGGGCTGGCCTCTCCCACCGTGCTGGTACCCTCGCCCGTGTGCTGGCCAGGCCCTACCTCCCTCCCCCAGCTGTGTCCCATGTTTAATTTAGCCTCTTTGCTTTTTAACACGAACTACAGGTGTGTTTCCTACGACTACCTGCTTTGAGCTCCAGTCCCCCTATTTTAAATTTTCTCGTTGCCCAAGCTCTTGCTGGGCGAGCCCCTCTCTTAGCTCTGCCCACCCCCCTTCTCGGGTTACCTGCTGCTCCTGGGACACCTGTGTCCTGTGCCTGTTCCAGGCCCCTTGGATTACACCTGCATTTACCTGGCTTGTCCATTTGGGGCTCCCCACTTCCCCATTTCTCTTTTCCTCTGCTCACCATCCATTTGAACCTCGGCATCCCCATTTCCACTGGGTCCAGATTCTCTGAGCTTAAATCCTGAGGCCCTCCAGTGGGGCGGGGGACAACCATCTCCCCCACTAACAGCTTCTTGTGCTGTCTGGTATGAGCCGGCTGCGTCACACCTTCAGGGTGGTTGCAATGTTACGGGAAGAGCCAACAGAGGAAGGGGCTGAGCCACTGGAGAGATACGGGCTGTCTCCAGGAGACATTTCCATGAGCCCCAAGCGAATCAACATACCTATGTGAAACCCCCATCCAGTGGGCACCCCCAAAAGAATGACCCCATAGTAACGTCTTAAAAACCCGAGACACTTCCTCAAAGCCGGTATCCTGTTTGCATGCTCTGCCTGGTCTCCTCTCGGCCCAGACGCTTTTCTGTCAAATAAAAGTTTCTGTGCCTTTGCAAATTTTAATTTCTATACTAACTCGAAGAACAGAACCCACGAAACTCACTCCTACAACCGCCCTCCCCTACGCGACCAGTAACATATCCCAGCCCGTGCTGGTCTCCACCCCGGCTCCCATGGAGTCCCTGATCTCCACCAGCTGTTCCGGGCTTCCAAGCCTCCTCATTGCCACTGAAGTAGGCAGGTATACAGGCTAAAATTGATCAGATTTGTGAACTGGAAGACCACGCCTTCGCCATGCCCCTGTGTGGCCTTATGCCCCTACCTGATGCCTTTGCCATGCCCGTGTGGCCTCATTCCCCTACCTGGCCATACCTGGGTGCCCACCAGCCAATCAGGTTAATTAACCACTCCCCTTTGGAAGTGGGTTAAAAGCTGGGCCCGGCCTGCTCTTTTTCCCTGGCCTCTTGCCAGGAGGGGGCTGGCTGTAGCCCCGAGCCTCCAGGGCGCATAGCCTTTGGGCCATGTGCTCTAGGCTTCCTGGCCTAGATGCTCCTCCACGTGGCTGGTTCCTGGTGCTCGGTATGAACCCCTAATTACCTCTCTCTCTTAAATAAAGCTCTCACTCTCCTATGCATCTTTCTCACTAAATAAAAGCTTAAAACGTACCATGCTGCCTCGTTTCTGTGCCGGTATTTGGAATTCTTCTCTAAATATTAGGCAAGAACCCTCTCGGGCTTATTAATATCGGGGATTTAGTAATAAGCCTGTGGCAAAATCGTATGGCACCCCAAATTCCGGTAGTACATGTGGCACCCCGGACAGCATTTCTAGCGAACTTTAAGGGGCCACATTTCAGGGTAAAATTTAGGGGGTCTTCTCCGATTTCACCACCACACCCACCCCCCACATTCTTCACCTGTCTGCTTTGCCCACTGCCCCATTCCACTTTTCTCGGTTTTTCCCTTGGTCTGTGGTTGTCTCCCCAGTTCCACTGAATTCCTGGTGTCTCCAGGGCCTTATTTTTATGAACTGATTTTTTTTTAAATGTTTGTTTTCATCTACTGAAAGGCAGAGCAACAGAGACAGCTCTTTCATCTGCTGACTCAATCCCTAACTACCTACAGCACCAGGGTTGAGCCAGGCCTCAGTCCGGGTCTCCCATCTGCTTGAGCCATCATCTGCTGCCTCCCAGGGTGCATTAGCAGGGAAGTGGAGTATCCTGGACTTGAACTAGCACTTGGACATGGTATATGGGTACCTCAAGTGGCCACTGGCCACACCACACCACCCTCCCCTGCATACTCATTTCAACATGCACAGATCATGGAAAAGAACAAAATGGCTAAAGGAACAACACTGTTGCCAATATTAGGAAACCATTAGAAAAACTGGGTGGAGGTGGGGGGGACAAACATTTTCCGAAATCTTCCTATTTACTACTAATCAGATCTAAAGATAACTGAAGCATTTATTTAAAAATAACTTTATTTTATAATCTTAAAAAAATCCATATTATAACCTCAGAACTAATTTCACCCAATCTCCCACCAAATACTAAAATGTAAATAACGCAGAGGGATCTGCTTATTTTTCTTTGCAGTAGTTTCTGGCCAGTCCCGTGGTGGGAATATTGGTTGGCACTTATTGCATCAGAATAAGTTTTACCCAGCAAGGATGCTATTCCGGATCTCAGTGCATAGGTTACGGAAATTTTCCATCATGCATTTTCCTCCTGCGGTTACGGGACTTGAATGTGCTTGTGAGACCTGGAGCTAATATCAAAGCCACAGGATGACAGAGCCCCTTGCCAGTGTCCACTAGGTTTTGAGGGAAAGAACTGTCATTGCAATAACCCTGAAGTGTTTCTCTCTCTGGTTCTGATAAGATCTCCTGGTATCTGAGTTAACAATACATGCAGATAAGATATTTTTAAAGTACAATTTAACAACTTGGACTTTGCCATACAAAGTCTGTAACCCACGATCAACATGCTTGTGGATTAGGGCATGGTTCATCTTGACGGGAGGGAAAAAAAAAAAGCCCTAATTCTTTACACCTCCTTAAAATGTACAGACCTTTAGTATCTGGATTCTTAGCTGACTAGCATATATCTGTGCACACAGGGCTTGGATGTAAGTGGTAGTAATCCAGATCAATTGGTCAAGGGTTTATGTAGTGTTTAGCAGTAGGTCCTTGAAGCTCCCATTTGCCAGTGGAAAAACCTTCAAATATTTCCTAGCATCAGATGTGTGCAGAGAGAAGAGGAGGTTGGAAAAGGCATCCCAGGGATCTGCATTCCTAGCAAGGGATTCCCGCCCTTCCCCCCCCACCCCCATTCCTCTTCTTTTAAATCTCTCCCCTCTGAAGAGCGGGTGCTCCAAGAAGTCAAGCATCCAAGTCTCCACAGGAGGAATCAGCTTGGTCTTCAGTGACTTTTGAAGCAACCTGAATATCCCCCTCTGAAACCTGACACTGACTCCCGCAGTGCAGAGCCACCAAGACAAGGAGCTACAAAGCAGGGAGAGACCTAGCCAGGCTTCACAGCTATGCTTGAGGCGTGGAAACTGAGCCCGCTCCCGAGCTGGGGACAGGGCACACTCTCAGTGACTTGCCCTAGTTCAGTGCCTTTGTTCACAAAAACAGATCTGTCCCAGATCGCACCTGCAGGGTTCCTTTAACCAGCTTCTCACCTTAGGATTCCGGAGAAGGGAAGCTCTTCAAGCTCTAGGTCTTGCCCACTGCAGCAGGATATATAACAGGAAAGAGTGCAAATTCAAGTCTAATTTTCATGTTTAGCACACGTCTATTGCACCCTGTTGAGGTCCCTGACTTGACATAGATTTGGATGAAATGAGAAGAAAAGAACCAAAAACCGCACAAGGATCTGCTAGAAGCATCAGCAGCCTAAACTCATCCGGAAACTTGGTGTATTGATCCGTGTGTCCTCATCTTTAGGAAGTAGGGAGGAAACAAGTTTCCCTGTTCCCATTTCTGAGATAGAGAAACTGAGTCCAGGTGGACTGATTTGTCTAAGGATACTCATTTACAAACCATGCATGCTGCCTCCAGTCAAGGCAACAGGGAAGGTGAAGAATGGGACAGGCTGCAGGCTAATCCCAGGGGTATCTCCTAGGAGGCTTCTGTGTAAATATGACGCTGAGAGGTTATAAGGAAAGGCACTTCCTCTCATCAGACCCTACTTCTTTTTTAAAGGATTGTCTCTCCAGGGAAACAAAGGCCATCAGGAGCGCTCTGATAATGCCCTGTCTGAGACCATTCTACAAGAACAAAAGGCACCAGCAGCAACTTAGAGTGCATGGCTCTTTCTTCCCCAAGGGAAGACAAAGAAGACCCCTAACACCTACTGAGAACCTCCCAGGCCTTTAGCATCCAGAGTGGCCTCATCTGTCCTCACCACCAGCCTCAAAGGTAGGTGTGAGTTCACATGAAGAAACAGGCCCAGAGAGAGGTACGTGAAACAAGCCCATCAAAAATACGAAAAGGAGCAGGGCCCAGATTCAGCCTGAGTGTTTCTGACTCCAAAGCCTGACCCACACTGCCTTCCTCGGACTTGTATTAGTCGCTAAAACCTCAGCTCTTCCCGGGACCTAGCATTTGCCTGGTTCCTGTGTCATCAGCTCACCTGGGTAGTTGTAGAGGAAGTTTCCTTATCACGCCACGATAGGTCCTTGTGTGCTTGGGCAAGCTGGTTACCAACCTTTAATAGTGGCAAAGGGCACCAACACCCAAGTGCCTCCCCAGCCTAATCAGTGTTTGTCACAGTAGGTCAACCTGGTAGAGCCAGGAGTCACAGCAAAAGTGGCATCTCTCCCACACACATGGCTCCTTCCCAGTGCTTTCTTAACATCCAAAAATCTTACAGCCTATCACAATAATTTTTGTTTAAAAATGGAAGGAAAAGTGTGTGTGTGTGTGTGTGTGCTCATGTGCGTGCGTGCACGCTTCCATTTTGCAGAGACCCAAACTTGCTAGTGCAAGCCCCCAGGCAGGGGTCCAAGTCAAGTCCAAGCTGAAGGAAGAACTCATCTTCAGTACTGCTTTCAGGACAGAGAACGCCGGACGATCCTCTTCTTCAAACTGGTCTTTCTTCTTCTTGAACAAGGTCACTTTGTGGCTCGCTGCTATCATCTGTAGAGAGGAGAGCAGACCCAACTCTGAGTGATCTCAATAGAGGGTGATTTCTAGTTCTTTCCGGGTGAGCCATGGAATTGGCTTTCGTGAAGGTGGGGCTGTGTACCCCCCTCCCCCACTGCTGTTCTATTCTAGTCTTTCAGTGTCCTCCAGACATGCTGGCCACCCTCCCCGCTTTGGGCTCACACCCCCACCTGCAAAGCTCTGCCTCCCTTCTGCTTATTCCAACTCGGCTGTCCCTAAAGACCAGCCTCCTCTCTCCCCTCTGCTGGAAAGCTGCTCCCGACCAGTGCTCCCCTCCACTGGGCAATTCATCACATTCTTCTCTCAAAGTGTGGGCTCGATCTTGCTTCCGATTCAGTTCTGTACATGTGAATCTGTTCACCCTAACTGGCCTTGCAAAGCTCCCTTCGTGCACTGTCTTTCTTTTCTGTTACATCAAACAATGCACAACTGTATCTTTCCCAAGCTGGGCCCTGGATAAACCCTTGTCAGTTTGATGCCTGTGTTGGTAGTCATACTGG